GTGACAGAGTTCTGCACGTCCTGGCTGCTTGCACACCTTGTCAGCTGGACAGGCCAAAATGCACTATGATGGTTGTGTTTCCCCAGAAACTAGAAGGACTGAGCATCTCACACTGCGCTAGCACGAGTGGGTATGGAACTCAATCTCTGGCTTTCCCCAAACTTACCAATGAAACCAAAGCAGAAGCCATGAAAAAGAGCTATGCAAACACCAGCACCTTCTCATCATCTTTCTAAACAAGCCAATTATTTTTCTCTGAAAGGTGTGACAACTACCAGTCTGCTTCTTCTAAGGTTTGGGTGAAGGAATTAACATCTTCCACAGGAGGGAGCAGGTCCACAGCTCCACTCTGTGAGGATAGAGTATGAAATCCGCAGAGAGCTCTGCCTCACCATCTCTTCTCAGCAGGAAGAATCAGCCCCCCAAAAGTATGCAGACTAATGGGGTAGTAAAGATTTCCAACTCCCAGCACAAGGGAATGCAGAAACTGAAGGCAGACATCCAGACCAAGTCTTAAGCACTAAAATAGTCTCTTGAACTGACCAGGAATCACACAGCCCAAGGACCATTTTCTGCTGTCACTTGCTGTGAGTGGTCTAYAGATACACAGATACCAGAAGGTATGAGATACATCACTCTATGTACACTTATAAAATACATAGGATTTCTAGATATGAATAGGAATAGATCAAACTCTTTCACATTTGGATATGAAAATCAGAAAGGCAGATTTCTGTCAGAAGCCAGAATTTAATTTTTAAATTATTGRTTTGGTGGGCTTCTTGCTTATGAAAATTACACTAATAAACTGTGATACACTGAAGTGCCCAGAGAGATTATTCCTTAATGATCACAAAATAAAGAGATGCTTWGAAATGTGCTGCCAAAAGACATTTGTGTAGCTCCATAATACCCTTTTTCAGAAAGTCTAAAGCTCACAGGATGGTCACCCAGAAACCATCCTGACACTTCTCACTGGTACTTCTCAGCAAGATGMTATTTTCACATATATTTCCAGGAAGTAATTTAAGAAGATTTTGGCTCAGAATGAGGTGCAATTGTACTCTTAGCTTTTCAAACTATACAGCCTGATTCCAGAATTTTAATGCCCTAGCACATAATCAACCACATCAGCTCAGACCTCTCACAGCACTTACTTTTATGTTGCTTTCTGTGCTTATACCTTTGTTTCTACAGAAAACAAGTTAATATTTTCTTAATACTTGAAGGAAAAAAATTGTACATGAYAAATGAGCTACAGAATTACAGAATTGCAGATGTTGGAAGGGGCATCTGGAGCCCACCTACTCCAATCCTCTGACAAAAGCAGGTTTAACAACAGGGGCTGTTCAGGGCCAGTGACACAACTCCTCAGTGCCAGYCTCCCAAAATCAAAAGACGTGTGCTTCGAGCGCACCCTAGCGAACATCCTGTTGAAGCTTTGTTTTTCCGGTTTAAAATCCTAAAAGTTTCTARTATTTGACTATCAGCGCTTTGCTGCCTTGATGCTAGGGTCTGGATTTAAAAAAAAAATACATTTATTAAAGAAAACATGGATAAGTAGATGCCTGAGTATTTTATAAAAATCCAGATGGGTATTTCACCCATCCATGAATTACACTAAATTACTTTTTACAGTGATTCACTGAATGTGAATTACAGAAGCTTTCACAAAGGTCTTGAAAAATTACTCATTTTTCTTTTAAGTATTTTCCTTTTTATATAAATATTATGTTGCTGCTGTTACAAGAGGCTTGTGTTTCCATAAGTTAAAATCATACAATCACAGAATAACTCAAATTGGAAGGGCTCCACCCATAAAGATTGAGCCCAACTCTCTRCTCCTTGCAGGACTACCTAAAACGAAACCATATGACTAAGAGCACATTCCAGATGCTTTTTGAACTCTGACAGGCTTGCTGCTGCAACCACTGTCCTGGGGAGCCTGTTCCAACCATCCTCCCAGTGAAAAGTCTTTTCCTAATGTTCAGTCTGAACTTCCTCTGCATTTCTGGCACTGCTCCTGTTAAATTTCAATCCCCTGGGGACTGCACAGCTCTACCTAGAGGTCTCTGTAAGGCCTCTCTATCCTAGAGGGAGTACACAGCTCCCCCAAATTAGTATCACCAGTAATTTTCCTTAATGTACATTCAACTCTTATGTACAGTTCATTTATGAAAACATTAAAGAGCACTGACCCTAAAACTGAGCCTTGGGGTGACTGGCTGCCAGCTTGATGTAACCCCATTTACTGTAACACTTTAAGACCAACCTTTCAGCCAGATTTAAGATAAAACTACTTAGTGACTATGTCTTGTTACTAGCAAAGTAACTGTGAAAATATAGTTGTGAATAAATTTACAAAATATATATGGAAAATAACCTAAAAAAATTTATAAAATAAAACAGCCTTCTTTTTACAGCCTTATTTGTAAAGGCTGTAAATAATCTTGCAGCAGCCACTTGGAGAAGGTACCGTAACAATAAAGTGACCTTAATAAGTAGTCCTGAAACCATTTCACATGCRGGGTAAACCTCTCTGAAGTGTTCARTTGAAAASCACATGGCTAAGATAAACTCTAAGAAGACATAAATGTTTTTATTTACCACCACTTATTATTCTCCACTTTCAGACAATATTGTTAGTTGCTGTTGTTTGTAATTCTTTGAATTGAATTTGAYTGTCAGGCTGTGATGTGCACTTGTGCACTTAACTGGCATCTCATCCTTAGAGAAACTTAAAGCATCAGTGRAATTTCCCACACTTACAGATAATGCTCCACTGTTTAAATGAATATAAGGAARGAAAAAGGAAAACCCACCAGCTCTCTCACTTTGCACCATGTCATTTTTGTGCTACAGCTCAACAACTTCCCTTTAACTGTCACCTGTTTCAAAAATCTGCAGTTTTGTTTTKCTCTTGAGTCCTGCAGCACGTGCAAGTGCTCAGAAACCCATCTGACCAAGACATGTGGTACCATACGGCCCTATTCATGGTTCCCAGCTGTCAAAGCACAGCACATCCTCTAGCACTGGYCAGGCACAGAGCTATCTAGGTCAMACAGTGCTTAACTATTCTGAGTCTYTGTCTTCAGCAAAGTGGCCAGACTATAGACAGCTAAATAAATCTGTCTTTTGATGCAGTTTTGTAACACTCATGAAGAGCTGTGCTTGAGCTAACTAACATCAGTGGCTGGGATAGCACACTTCAGATAACTGGGTGCTGACAACACACATCCTTTGATTATTATTACACTCTGATGTAAGTTCAAGTTCAAGATCACTTCATAACACTTCCAAATCACTCAAAATGTATCTTCTTCTTTTCATTTGGCTGTTACCTTCTTTAAGGAAGGCATATCCCTTCTTTCTAACCCAACAGATGTAAGTGGCCCAGTCAATGGCACAAAGTTAAACAAAAAATAGTCTTTCAACAAGCTACACTTTGCACARGAAGGAGCAGAGGACATGGCCCTGCCCCATTTTCTTCTCTTGAACAGTCATTTGCTGGCTGAGTGTGTGGGCTAAATGAGTCTCCTCTCTTAACCCTTCTGTCCTATGTTACAACCTGTTCTGGCTGCAGAGATGATTGAATTAGCAGTTTGACCCTCTTGTGGTCAATGAAGRGTTTATGCCTCAGCACCTATTTCTTCTCACTGCTACAGAATTGAAGGAAAACTATCCTTTATGTACAGGTTGGGCAGAGAATTGATTGAGAATAGCCCTGTAGAGAAGGACTTGGGGGTGATGGTTCACAAAAAACTCAACATGAGCAGGCAATGTGCGCTTGCAGTTCCAAAGGCCAACCACGTTCTGGGCTGCATCACAAGCAGGGCAAAGGAGGTGCCCCTCTGCTCTTGTGAGACTGTACCTGGAGTGCTGCACCCAGCTCTGGATGGAACATGGAACTGCTGGAGCAAGTCCAGAGGAGGCCCACAAAGTTAATAATGGGACTGGAGCACCTACCCTACAAAGACAGGCTAAGAAAGTTGGAGCTTWTCAGTTCAGAGAACAGAAGGTTATGTGGAACAAACTTTACTGAATCTGGAGCAGGCCTACAGGGAAGCCAGAAAGGGACTCTGTCAGGAACTGTGGTGACAGGACGAGTAATGGCTACAAATTAAAAGAGAGGAAATTTAGGTTAGATATTAGGAAGAAATTCTTCACTGTGAGGGTGGTAAGGAGTGTAACATATTGCCCAGGGAGGTTGTGGATGTCCCATCCCCTGCAATGTTCAAAACCATGTTGGATGAGGCATTGAGCAGCCTGGTGTAATGGAAGGTGATCTTGCCCATGGCAGGCACTGTGGGACAGGATGATCTTTAAGGTCCATTTCACGCCTTTAAAATTATATGGAATGCATCACTGTGCAAGTAAAATAGGCCAGGTTGGTCAGTGAAGAGCTCCCCAGGGCAGTGATCAYGRCACCAAGTCTGTCAGAGTTCAAGGAGTGTCTGGACAATGTTCTTAGTCATGGCTTGCTTGGATTKTTTGKTAGTCCTGCAAGGAGCAGRGAGMTGGAGTCAATGAACCTTAARGGTCTCTTCCAWCTCCTTATGGTTTTCTTMCAATTTGAGATATTCCATCACTATAWGGTAAGTACAATGRTTTACGACAAGTTTATTACAAGTCACACKGCCCTTCTTGTACATTTCACACAAATCACCTATGTTTTCCAATCATTAATTGACTTAAGATATTTAAAACAGACATAAAACCTTTGTATGTTTCAGTTAAATGCAAAATCTTACTCCTTTTTAATAACACATAGGCATAGGAAGCAGAACAAGAGCAATACTTAAGCAAAACCAATGTATTTTATTTCCATCAAGTTAGTATTTCATTTTTAAACAGTCACACAACTCCAGAGAACTGTACCTCTTACAGYTTCCCATTAGTTATCGTGGCTATTGAAAACATACAAAGCACTTAGAACTTGTTTTATCCAGCCTGGAGCTTTCACAGTTAATAGTTTTTGTAAATCTTCAGCTGTAACTGACTACTCACAAACATCACATATAGGTACTTTATATACTAAGTTAGTCATATCAGATAAACTATCCTGCAACAGTACAGGACTGCAAAAATATCTYGTTAAATTTTGATTACAAAACTGTATCTTAAATTTAGAACACTGCTTGTACATAAAAGTCTGTAAACAAAAATCTGTCAGCAAAATCAGTAAATGGTCCAACTATGCCAATAGTTGTATTAAATGCCACTTAATGGACTAACAATACCATTTGAAAAGTACTCTTCAGGAAGCCTGTAGTGGATATATTCACTGAATRCTTTTGTATTACACCATTCACAGTCTGAATGGAACTGTTTATGGCASGGACACCTTCTTTGGCACAATGCATTTAAAATTAAAGCCAGCTGACCAAATTTATGTAAAGGCAAACAGGAATCAAGGCAGAGCTGTAACATAAAGCCTGTGAAGACAATGACAGTAATCACCAACCGCATGTGCACAGACCATACTTAAAAGTTATTCTTTTGCAGAATGCAGCATCAAGGGATATTTGCCACTTTAGTTAGAAACTAAAACTCCTATACCTTCAAAAGCACACTATGAATCATTGCTYCCTCAAGAGAAATTATCAGTATTGTGTCTTCTGTCATCAGTATTACATAAAGCTGGAACTGAAAAACCACAACAAGCATATAAAGTTAACATACTTTGAAGAAATAAAACTAAACCAGAGGAAACAAATCTAAAAATATTCTGAAGTTGAGAGTTACTCATATAGTGCAAATAATGACTTCTGTTACCAAGAATTCCACTTTCATATGTAAATCCATAAAAAAAGAAATCTAGGAAAAGGAATTTAGTAACAGTAGTTGAATTGCAATAAATTTTGGCAAAATTAGGCTTCTAGCACATACCCCAAAAATGTCAAAGCTTGATGATATCTGTAGATATCATCTAACTTCCAAAGTTCTGTGGATATCATCTAACTTCTAAAGTTCTTAATAATCTAGCAATTATAAATAAATTCAGAACCAAAAAAATTTGTTTTCAACTGCAGGAAGTTATTAATTAATGAAATGTTATCTGCAGCAAATTTGTAACCTACCAGGAAAGAAAAYGAGAAAGTTAATTGACTTCTGGRTTTGGAGGAGAGAAACATTTAAGTMAATTTAATTTAATGAGTATTTAATTCAATGGTTTTTATATAAATCAGTTGGGCAAGCTATTCTGGAGACTACTTTGGAATGTATTTCTGAATTTTCACAATTTATTCAAGTTTGTCTTTTGAGAGTGGTGAAAGAAAGAAAGGGTGGGTGGGAAGGAAGTAAAATCTTTATTGGGTCATATTCTGCACTTCATGTATTTTTACTGCCAATTTTATCAATTTCTTCTCTCAAAAATCTGTACTAGGAAGACACATCTAATATGGGACAACAGCAGTCAGACTGCTTCATAAAACCATTAACATATCCTGCATTCAAAACCTGAGYGCTGCAATCAAATACTATGCCTGGATTTCCCTGGGTGAATTTCTAACTCCTCCTTCTCACTCTCTCTCTCGCTCTGTTCTCCAACATTCATAGCTCCTTCATCWCTGACATGAAAGCACTGGACTTCAAGTTGAAAATCTTGGTTCTTTCATGGAAAAAAGAAAAGAAAGACAAAACAATGCTCATACAACATACAGCACTTACTCTAAAAGTAAATCCAAGCATGAGGGTATTTTACATCTGTCTTCTTATCATAGAACAGAGCATGTTTCTGTCTTTTCCAAAAGATTACTGAAATTTCAGTTATAAAAGTGCATGTGAAGAATTTTTTCATTGCTGCCTCTGATGACAAGCACCAGCACTTACTTTTTGGAGTTCTTGTGTCTTCAAACTAACAATACGGGTAGAGACAGACATTTGTGACTGAATCAATTCAGTGATAGCTTTCTTCTCAGTAAACTGAACTATTTCATCTTCTAGAAGCTTTTTCTTTTCTTCTAATTTCAGCTCCTCTTCTTGATGCATAAGCATAAGATGCTCAAATTTAGTCAGTACCTATTTAAAGAAAGCACAAAAAAATAACATTTCCAACTAGCAACACAAGGTGGTGATATCACAATATAAAAACCCTCTGCAAATAAACAGTAAAACCTATCTCCAATTGTGTTAACAGTCATTAGAAATTGYAGTTATTTCCCTAAACTGTTAAAGACTAAAAAACAACAATACAGAAAAATAGTAACTTTTATCAGACTGTTTTCCTGATCCAGGCTATTACACTCAAAGTACAGGTGGGAAACATGGAAACCACCAAGTGAATACAAGATTTCCTACTACATTTTATTTTACTGTAAGTTTACTGCATCACAAATAAGGAGGCCTTTAGAGATGAGCCCATTAACAACAGAYGGATTAAATCAAGATCTGTCAAGCAGAATATAGTTCCCTAAAATCAAGTGGGGAAGCGTGTATTGATTAGATTTAAATATTAATAAGTACAAAGTAAGTCAGATTGGGGAGTTACTGGTGGGCTGCAAGAAGCKAACTACTTTTCTATAGTAATTGTGCTTTGATTGTTCTTTTGACATATTAATGCATTTTAGTTTCCTGATGTATTTCAACCAGTTTAAACCTACTGTGAAGATGTGTGTGACAACAAAAGGGTATTTCATTCCATCTTTCCTTATCTCCCATTTCTCCCCCACACAAATTCTCCTAGAATCCTGCTTTTGTAAAGAAGAAACTAAGAATCAACTAAGACTATAAATGTAACAGTGTGCCTGTTTTACACAGCAGAGCTGACAAATTTTRTGGGGGCACCTACAGGTTTCCTCTAAATGAAGGATGTGAAAGAAATCTGAAGTACAACAGAAAATCCTGGTTTTCTTTAGTTTCCAGATACAAATACAGTAGCAAGAGTACATGACAAATGTTCTTTAGAAGTGACTGCATGATCACTTTCCCACACCAGGAACTTGGAAAACTAAAATCCATAATTCTGCAATATACARAGCTCACAAACCACTTGGTATAAATCATACCAAAGGGTAGCACAGACACTGTGTAAGACGTTGAAGAAGCTGCTTTGAACATGGCCAAGCATTCTTCCAATTGGATTGCCCCATACCGGAAAGAACTGAATCTGAGCTTTTTTCCTCCGTAAGTAGCATGGGGGTCTTAACAGATTTAGAAAACAAATATTAAGACACCTTCTTATTTAAAACATGCACCYGAACACCTCAAAAAAACTGCTACAGTTTTTCTGGGGGACTGAGGTAAAGACAAGAATGTCAATAAAAATACACAGGTTTCTCATTTCAATCAAAGCTGGTGTTTGAATATAAATATGCATGACCACGRTAAGAGTCTGGCAGAAAGTAGATGAGAAGATCCTATCTTGCTAGTCCAGCTTGACAGGACTAAATCTTCAACAATACTTCCAATTAATACTCCACATCTTCAAATAGTCTTAAGGCAGCTGGGAATAGATGAGATTTTTGAAACTAGAACCGAAACAAATCAGCAAAGCACCAGGCATACACACTTTCAAACCTCTCAGCATAAGGGTTCATCTTAGATTTAATAACTGAAACTGGAAATCAGGCAAAAACACACAKGCCACTCTGAAAAAAAACCACCCATAGTATTTTTCCCTAAAATCTTGTTTTCTACAGAGCAAAAATGTTTTCTATGCACAAAAAGCACCTACAGTGTTATGGCATACCAATGTGTCTCAGCACACTGCTAGAGAAGACAAAACATCACAACCACTATATTCACCAGTCTCTTATTTCACCATATCAACTCCTACTCTATAGACATGTACCCACTATCCACCCAAGCTTTTAGATCATAAGCTCCCACCTTCCAAATAAAAGAGCGCCATTTATAGAATCACAGAATCATTTACTCATAGAAAGACCTTTAAGATAATGAAATACAACTGTTAACCCACYACTGCCCACTCCACCACTAAACCATGTCCCCAAATGCCACATGTACTCATCTTTTAAATACCTTCAGGTGTTGTGACTCACTACTTCCCTGCACAGCCTGTTCTCCAATGCTTGACAACCCTTTCAGTGAATACATTTTCCTAACATTCACTCTAAACCTTCCTTGACACAACTTTAAGTCCATTTCTTCTCATCACTTACTACTTGGGAGAAGAAATGAACTCCAAACTCACTACACTATTTTTTTCAGGTAGTTGCAGAGACCAATAAAATCTCCCCTGAACCTTTACTTCAGGCTAAACAACCCCAGCTCCCTCAGCTGCTCCTCATAACACGTATTCTCTTGTTTGCTGTGTAAACTGCTTTCGATTTAAACCATTACTGTCCTCAAAATATTAGGAAATTATAAATATCAACCAGTGATTTTGTTAAGAACTTAGCTGCTCCAAATCTCAGAAAACAAACTCAAGATAGACAGGCATGCTTGCCTGCTGCTCTGCCTCTTCCAACATTGCTGCTTTCTCATTCACTCTCTGCACAAATCGTTGTTTAATCTCCTCTTCTTTTCTTTCCATTTCAAGGAAGAACTCGAGCCTCTTTGCCTCAAAGACTTCCTGCAGACTGAAGTTCAAAAAAGTAAGCAACTCCCCAGCATGCTGCTTTATTCAGTGTGGAAAACCAACAATCTAGACATTTATTTWAACAATTAATACTCATCTGAAACATTAATTTCTACAGCTTCCCACAAAAAGATTCATAAAAGAAACCTAAACAGAAGCAAGCATCTTATCTTTCTACTTTTTATTTACATAAACAACCCTGAGTAAAATTATTTATATGCTAACAGCACCTGGGCAATTTACATTTCAAAGTAAATACAACACTTTAGGCATCTCATATTCTAAAGACTTGTTTTATACCTTTCTGATTCCAACATGCATAAGCTTCTTCTTTAAGGTGCTTACTACCAAGACACTGAAATTAACAAAAATTTCTGCACTGTGAAACCTCAGTCTTAAAGTAGGACCATAAGAAAATAATTAATGTGAGAAAAAATAATTAATGTGKACTATTAACACAATAAAAAGCTGACTGTTCCTATATGAAAATGAAAGAAAATAATGGGATCTTCAAAATATATAGCATTCTCTTTATGTCATGTTAAAATTTAAATATGACAGAATTACATTAATATGGAGTAGCTACAATTTCCTAAGTAGTTCAACATCCAAAAGACAGKGTTACTTTCCAACATGCAACAGCCAAAACCTCAAGGCTGCTTGTCTTCTCCTGAACCCTCTCTTTCAGAAGCAAATATACTGTATATATACCATACTTACATTTGAAATTATATAGAAGGAGTAAATTAATTGAGATCATTGAGCAGATATCTGGCAACAGAGCAAGTTGTCAAGTAAATCAAACATTTCTTTACCTTTTAATCTATGCCTCCTTTCTCTTTTCAGTACACAAGATAATTTTTCTTTCCTACAAACAACAGGTACTTGAAATCGAGATACTTCTTTCATGTCATAGCATATCATGGCAAATTAAAATACGCTAAAAAATTATTCATATGAATAAACTGCTAGAGGTTTGACGTTTTCAGGGTCTACATTACTACTGCCAGGCAGTGCTGGCAAGAAGTGTTCTGCTTTTCAAGGAAAAATGAACAGAGCTTGTACACAAATGTACCTCACACACCAAACTGGCTTTGGAAAGCAAACCTGCTTAAGTTCTTCTATTAAAACATTTACAAACTTCTCTAAGTCACATGAYTCCAGAAAGCAGAACTGGTGGATCACAGCTGTGTCAATACCTATTGGAAACTCAAAAGCATCTGTCCATTGTCTTCCACAACGTCAGGTTTAAGAACGGATCAAACCATGGATAATGTTCTAGCTCTTTTYTGGGGCTGTTCTCTTACACCTTTCATCACTTCCAACACTTCCTAAGTGCTGACTAGTCAGCCCTTCTCAGCTTACATGAGTTACTGTCCTTTGCCAGRTAAATCATGCCTTGCTGATGTAAAATATATAGGTATGTATATCAAGTATTTAATTTTTATTTATACTTTTARTACATATTCATGCTTATATACCAGTTTTTGTCCTATATTTTACTGTTTCTATTTAAACCATTTAAACTTAACAAGAGATCTAAAGAGTTAATTATTTAGAGCAACACTAAGCCTAAACAGCTCTCTTCTGTATTTAAATTTATGACTGGGCAGTTTCCCAATCCTAAAATTTCTTATTTGTATTCAAAATATCTAAAGAGAGAGAAGAAACATCTTGAAATTACACAAGCAGACAATGTTTTTAAGATATCAAGGTCAGAGCAGTCCTCCTATCTTATTGAGCACTACATGGCAACAAAATAAATTCAGAACAATTATCTTTTGTGTTTGGGTTTGTTTTGGGGGCTTTTAATCAATTGTAAAGTAATTTAGGTCATCCTGAAATTCTAAATTCTGTCTACCACATGAAACAAGGGCATGGTTTTCACACAGATGTATTAATTCACACTATCTCTAAGTTTAGACAATGAAGCTACAGCACAGATTTTTCAAGTGCTAGCAATCTCACAATATACACACCTCTGCACCCAGTGTCAGYTCTGCAAGATAACATGCCACTTTTGAGTACAATAAAGCTGCCAGAGCAAGTGCTAGACCAAGTTAACATGCTGTAATCACACCTTCATTTCTTTATGCAGACATCTTTAGACCCAGTCTAGGTTACTTTCTCAGGTAAAAGCAATTTCATCTTGAAATTTATAAAAGAATAACTTTGAAGACACTGGACTCAGTAAGTAATCAAATTACATGTAGAAAGGAGAAATAAAAGTGCATTTTTTTTTATTTTACTGTGAGTGCTTATGGATGCCCCATCCCTCAAAATGTTCAAGGCCAGGCTGGATGGGGCTCTGAGCAACCTGGTCTAGTAGAAGATGTCTCTGTCCATGGTAGATGGATTGGAAATAGATGGTCTTTGAAGTCCTTTTTAACCCCAACCATTCTATAATTCCATTAAATACTCCCTCCCACTGGACTGAACTGTTCTGGAAATCACAAAGACAGAACWAACCCAAAATTTCCTTTTCTGCATTTAGCGTATCAGCAACACATTAACCCAAACACTCTGGTTTCAASAGTTTCGGGAAGGAGGGAAACATAGTTCACCAAATCTTAACCCAGTCCTTCCAATCTCACCCTAAAACAAGTGAAATATTTAGCTCAAATGCAAATGTCTGCAGCTGGTCAGATGAACTGCATTGCCAAGTGACATCTTAAGGRAAAAGTCAAATAGCCTTTCAAATGCAAGGTTTCTTTTCTTAGGAAAGACAACAAAAGTCATTTCWACCTTCCTCTACACATAAACTTGTATCACTGAACCCTTCCTGGCCTTCTGTCATCATTTTCGAAACAGACTGAAAAATGTTTCMAGATCAAGAACTGCAAGGTCTGAATATCCCAGTTTCAGGGAGGAATAAAGCATGGAATATATGATTCCTCACATATTGAGAAACCGAGATGCTTATGTTACAATGATTTTTAATTGCAATTATGATAAAGAACAAATTGTAATTATGATGACAGAAAAACAACTAACCCAGAGAATGAATAACATCAGTGAATCCGAATATGCAAGCATATGGCYTGAATATCTATCTTCAGCTTTATTCAACAGACCCTGGTCTATCAGTTTTCTCCTTTCGAAACAGCATCCCCATAGGCAACAATTTAAACTGAAAATGGACATAATAAAATGTCCAACTTCAGAACACAGGCAATCCTTTCCTCCCTTGCAAACACCTAAGCTAACTAGGTTTATGTGTATACCTAGAAGTTTGTTGAAACACTCTTGAGGTCTAGATTTCTGTTTTCAACTATTCCAAATTATACCACTCAAAACATCCCAGCAATTATCTCTCACTGAGAATGACCTGAAACTAGGAATTCATGTTCCTAATAGACATAACTGGACCATCGAAAAGGCAGAACCATCTGACCATCTGCCTACACATACAAAAGCTTATCTTTACTTTTCAACAACAAAGAAATGCAAATCCCAATTTTAAGYAGGAAAAAGTTATWAAAAATCCACTTCCYGAATTTTATATCCAACAGATACTGYATAAAATGTATAASCCACACCCTAAATACTCTGCCATCCATTGACTGCACTACTTCATTCTTAGAATGCAATTACAAATWAACAAATTAAAAAGTTATTATGAAACAGCTTCACCAAAAAAACACGATTAGGGGATAGATGTTTTAAAAAGTGTGCACATGACAGTCACTTCAGACCACCTTTATTTTCCCTTCTCACACCTAGTAATAAAGATGCAAATATATTTTGCTGTTGTGTCCTGAAACCATTYCTTTTTACATCTCCCATAAAATAAAGCAAAACTTGCCAACATGTTTTTTCACRTATAAGAGTGAAAGCCTTTACAGATGTCTGCCCACAACCTATCTCACAAGGTAGCTGAACATCCAAGAATTATTGGTTTTGCTTTCCAGTGGCATAAAATTTTGGATGAATAAACTACTGCCCTACTTCTAAATCTGAAAGAGTGTTACAGGAACATCACAGGTAGCTTCTTCACAACATGCCAAAAGGCAGGGCATGTTAGCTACTCAAATGTCAGTGTTCAAATGCTACAAACAGCCAATTATTCAAGTCTAGCAACGGTTTTCTAAATTCACATTATTACCAAATTTAATATGTAGACAGCTACATCACAGGCAAAAAATACAACTTCTCAACATGTGTTTTGATCGTTATTTACACAACTAGCATGAATTTTTAATCTTCAGACATATATTGCTATGCAATATAAATTATACTGTAAAACAACAGCTCTTAGAATCTATGTATATATATTGTAAACATCTTTAAGGACAAGAAGGATGACAATAACACACTTTTGCCTAAAACAACTGGAYAGTCCCTATTCTGAAAGCTATTTAAATGTACAAGTCAGCAAACGGGGAAGCACTGAATGTCCTCTATGTAAAAAGATATTTTCTATCACACTACTGAGGATGATGCTTTTTGTTGTTTTCTCAGTAATTTGGTAAAACACCTTCTGGGTAAGGCTGCATTCATCTGCATACAGATCCTCTAAATACTCTTCCTTTTTTATGGTATCATAAAATGTGTCTCCCAAAACACCAAACACCTTCTCTTYCAGATCTCACTATGCCACATTACTGATGACAGCCATTCCAGTCTTATTTATCTCTTCCTGTTGCTGTAAATCTGGAAAAAAAAATTATTTTTCCAGATTATTCTGGAATATCTATTCTCATCCTTCCAAAACARTGACATTTTCAACATATCTGACTTACCAAAACTAATTGACAAGCATACTTTCTTGCCAAAAATCTCTCAATAAAACTGACATCTAGTGGGCCAGACATAAAAACTACAYACCAGAGAGAACTCAGCTCTTCTGTATATCCAAGAAGCAAACAACTTCTAAACCAGCTTTGAAATATAAAATATTAGGAGTTTCTGATGTGAACCTGACACTTCCGGCTGTTAACAAACTGTGCAGGAGTTTTTACAAAGATAATTCCTGTGTTTTCAGAAGAAAACACTTCAATGGATGATGGTTTTTATAATTTAGCTCTTATCCTGAGATGGCTGTACATCATGAAGTCCAGCTTCGGAAAAGCCAAAAGTACTGAAGTCAATGTTGCCATGAGCCTCTAAAAAAACCTCTAAAAAACCTCTAAAAAAAGTCTTTCCCAGACAAGGATAACAAGACATCAGCTGTTAACACAGGTTTGTAAACTTAAACCAAATGAAAACTCCATGGTTAATTTCATTTGGGTTTAAACCTTCTTTGCCTTTGGCTCTCTTTTTATGAAAAAAAAACGTATTCCCTTCTTGTTAGTCGAGAGAAATGTCAAGAGAAAACTGATTCAAGGTCAGCTCAAGATCATCTAAATGAACTAATCCAAATGTGCCTTGGTCCAAATAATGCAAAACTGTTTTTAATGCAAAGCCTTATTCTGTTTTCATGCCTGGTTTAAGTCAGCATTTCCCACCATGACAATGCATTAACAGTGCTTGGCTAAACCACGAAGGCTTGAACAACTCGTGAAGCATCAGCTCTTCCCCATCAGGACTCTGACCAATTAAAGTACAGTCCCATGTATGAAAAAAACAAAGCATGCTGGAAGAGAGAGACAACAGAATTGGAAATAAAAGGCTATACAAATTGGATACAGAAATTTTATATGCTTCCTGCAGGAAGCAGCTTTACTACATGAAATAACTGATCATCTATAAACCTCTGCTTAACTTTCCTTTGGAATCATCTTTTAACTCCCTACCCTCTAGCAAGAGATTTCTTGACRTGAAAATGCTAAGACATTTGTTATTATGGTAGATMATGTGAGAAGTYAACAGTGAAACCACTTATTTTGTARAAGTTTTTGCTTCAGTTCCTTCYGAACCTGGAGTCCAACCAGGTCTCATTATTCAGAATGAGACATTCTTAATAGAGAAGTAAAACATAATGCTATTATATAATAAAAACAATTTTAAAATTAATAAAGTACATGTACCTGAAGAAAACAGACATACTTCCTGAGAAAAAAAATAAAATCCTCAGGTTTATTACAGAAGGGAAAGATTTCAAAAATACAACTGCTGGTTTGCAACACTTTAAACAATGTTCACTAAAACCCATATACTTCTCCACAAAAATAACTGAATGAACAGCTACATCCCTCAATTTAAAAAAAACAACAATCTCTTTTCTTCTTGGAAAACCTATTTTATGCATGAACCCTGCTCTGCATTGGGTTAATGTGAARTGAATGGATGCTGAAAGCAAGTGCTGCACATTTAGTCCTTTACCTGACTGGCTCGTTCTCAGGGCCAACATCTTTGCAACCCAACTTTTCCAGTCTGCAGCGTCTGTACAACTCGTAATATGCACAAGTCTTCTCTCTTAAGTCTTCCATATTTGTGCAAAGCATCCTGCGAAGCTTTACAGTGTCACAGTGGCTTTCATTTTCCACTATCAGTGAAAAAAAGGTTTTGTTATGCAGAAGCAGCAAAATAGCCAAAATACATTTTAAACAATATCACTTAYTTTGTTCACTAAACCTATTTCTAGGAAAAAGTATCTTGTTTATGATACCTCTTATACTTCTTTACGACTTCTAATATACACACTGAAATAACAAAGAACTGTAAGTACTGGTGAACTATTTCAACACCTCCTGATTTCCTGTTTAAGCTGAACAACAACACATCTTTTTAACCTTTTTCTTTACTGACAATCACAAATGTTTGAAATCTGGTAGTGCTAAAGACACTGCCACCACACTAACCTTAACCAAATCACACACATCTGATTTCAAGGATGCATCAGTGTGGATGGAACAACCAGAYTGCGCATGCCTCTAGTATTAACTGCTAAACTCCTTGAATTGTTGATCCAAAATATAATCTGCCTGGCATAAGTGAAACAGCCCCTTGTATTATTGGTGAATTTCATACCTCAACAATAACAAAAATCTCATAAAAATATTTTGAAGAATTCCTTTACCTTTTACAATACCCCAAGGGTACTGACGAGCTCTCACCATTTTGTTTCCAATTTTCACCTTTTCCATGCTTCCTACCACGGCAAATGGCAAATGACCCTGTTAAGAGTCATATCAATAAAGTCTTATCTGTCAGCATTTTTATGTTAAAACAGAAAAACACTTCAGAAATAAATTATGGAAGAAAAMTCCATTTCAGAAAAAGCCAACAGACAGTTGCAAACTGGAAACCACTCTTAGGAGATGAGCAGCTGGCAGTATCTACTGATAAAAAAAATCAAACTACAATAAAAGCAGAACGAGAGGTTGATAGACCCAGATGGGTGTGCTGCCAGCTCAGCTGGAGAAATGGGCCAATAGGCAYCTCATGAACTGGAAATGAGAGCAGTGCTAAGTCCTGCACATCAGGAGGAGTAAGTCCCTGCCTCAGTTGGGGCCAACAATCTGGAAAGGTACTTCGCAGAATAAGACATCCTGACTCAGCAGGTCTGCCCCAATGGCAAAGGCAGCCAACTACATCCTGAACTGCACTGGGAAGTGTCAGCCCCAAACAGAAAACCGCTCTAGAACCCGACTCACATTCAGCCGGAGCTCATATCCCAATAACGCTCATTTGACGATCACAGGCTGGAACCTGTGGTGTGGTTGCTGCTGTGGGCTTGGCACAAAACCAAGCTGGGCACTGACCATCTGCATGCTGTCCCACAACAACTGACCAAATAAACACCATTACCTGGAAAATTAATCACTAGCAGAGCATGGAAGYGGCAAGTAACAAACCACCAGCTTTCCCCATAGCAAAAGGACCTATTACTGACCGACAGCTGTACACTTTCACTGCCTGGCCAGGTAACAGAGAGTGGAACTGCAGAGCCATGGGCTCCAGCACCCTGGCTCCTGCCCCCTACTTTCAAACCCYGGTACACACATCATATGCCAGTGAGCAGCAAATACAGAGTGCTCAAGGACAAAGCAATCTAATTTCACAACCTTAGCTGAAAGCTGGCAGCACCCCCAGAATCTGAAAAGGCAACAGAAAATAAGGCAGAGTTATTAYACAAGTTAAAATAAACCAGACTTTTTCAGTCCCAGAGAAAATCTGTGCTAATTTCAAAAGAAAGTACTTTATAAAAGAAAAAAAGCAGATGGGAGACTTGCTATGATGAAGACCAGAGAAAACTGTAGACATGAGGCACCTAAATACCTTCTCTAACAGATGTAAAAATGTATTTGTTGAGGAAAAGAGCAATCCGTCCATTTATAACAGTAATTATATATTAATTATCCAGAAATTAGGAAAAACATTTATGCATGAGAACTTCTTTTCTGTTATAGATATCAACAGCAGAGGGACAGGGAGATTTGCAAGTATGGAAGAAAAAACCAACACATAAAAGTTTTTTAAGGAGAGACAAAAATAAACAAACTCATGACATGCAAACTTATAACTTCAAGATAATGGTGAAAGCAATGACATTTCTCAGCATTAGAGAATGATGCTCTAGTACTGMAATAGAGTATTTTTGTCATTTACTTACATTTGTGATGGTATTCATTTCAGAAACGGTTTCATCATCAGTAGGAAACTGGTATATCTGGATGCCATTACTAACTAATTCAGTCATTATTTTCTTCTTGAACTCTTGTAGCTCAGTTTTAGAAATGCTGTCTGCTTTGCCTATAACTGGTATAATGTTCACCTATTAATGACATAAATTGTATGAAATGTGTGARACTTCAATTTTGAGGTGGCAATTTTTGTAAAGACAATTGTTTTCTAATAAGCTGTTTAAAACTTTCCCAGCAGTCCAAACTTTTCCATCAATTGATATTAAAGTTTCACAAACAATGAAAAATATTCTCATGGGCATCATTTAACAAATTAGCAACCAATTATTTAATACACTCCCTTAAAAGTAATTGATTCTAAGAACAAGCAAGGAGGTCTCATATAAAGAAGTACTCAAAAGAAAGCAATGCCTACTTACTAACTMAATGTCATTAAGTATTTATCTCTCTGCTAAAAAATAGATTATTTTAGTTTATAGCAGCAGGAGACATAGTTCAGGTGTTAAAAGAAAGCTAACAGTTTAAATGCACAAAGAAAAGGAAGCTGGCTACCAAACCCTGCCTACCCCACAGTCTCAYCCTTGGGTTCCTTTCAGCTACATCTTCTTCACCTCACCACTGCAGCACAGTTTCTCAAGTATCTGACGTGAGCAGAGGAATRACAAAGGCTAAAGGATTTGCTTACCAGTCTTTACACTAACTACTCAGAACTTAAAATTCTGTTCTATTAAACTGCCCTATTTCCTAAAATAGTTATGGCAGTAACTTGGAATGCAGTAGATGCCAATTTTTTTTCTTACAAATACTATTACTGCTCCCAAAATATATGTCTTTCAGAGCTAAACACAAATAATGAATGCCAATATCCAAATATTTTGAAAGAACAATATAAATAATTCTTCCAGACTTCAGAAGATGAAGTTTTACAGAGTTCCTTGATCACAGATACAAAAAAACGAGACGGAAAAAAAAGCAAAAAAATGCATACACTTTCTATTCTTATGAATATTCTGTCTGAATGGAAATGCCTAAATATCAAGAACAGATTCAGAATGGCTATTTGCCAAATAAGCTTTCTGTCTTAAGCAAAATGTCCAAAAGAAAAAGAAGCAAGCCAACTCTTCAATATGACTTCTAAGATTACATGATGACAGTCCTTAATTGCATACACAACCTAAGCACATATGGGGTAAAACATCTATAATCAAATAAAATTATGGAATATATTTTTTTAGTAACTGAACTCATTTAGAACTGTATAAACAATCTGGTACAGCTAGGAGTAATTCACATCTTCAATCAAATTAGCTGAGGGACATCAATTTAGGTTTTCTGTAATATAGGTCTAAAAATGGATGGAACACAGAGTCCTCAGAATTAAATCAACCTCTACTCTCTTTTCAACATCAAAGTTTTTCAARAACTTAYTAATCARGAAACAATTTCTTRGAAAACAAACAGCAGAGAAAGTCTACCGAGGAGAACAGTAAAAAGCAAAATCATCAGATACTGTGATTACARCTGTSAAYATTGACATTAAATCACCACCATTGYATTAAAACTAAAAAGTGTAAGATTTACACTGGCTTTAGATAAGCAACAAAGAAGGAAAAGAAATATATTTATTTGAAATYATTATTARTTGCAAGAGCAAGTTGATTTATCAAGCAATAGTATCTCCATGAATCAATMTAAAAAWTYYKRARRWTWWTTYYKGARGGGAWAAAACCCAGACTAAATCYCCACAAAGTACACTCATGTACTTTACTGACTTAATACAATTCTGAGAGAATGAATTAGAACTGCACAGCTCGTAGTTGAATAATCACTATTTCCAGCAAGAAAGGGTACAGGAAAAGATTCACTTTATCTGTGAATAAAACCTGGCTGGTCTGTAGGGATGCCATCCTAAGCAAAACTACAGGATTTTTTAATGTCTAAATGTTCGAGTCCAAATTCTTAGCTAGTCATCCAATGCATAACATATAAAAATAAATTAACCACAGATACTTTGTTTTTTTCTCCCAGGACTACAGAGTACMGGATAAACCTAATCTATTCCAAGAACCCTCTCTACCTCGGAGCTGTGTAATCTGGTATTGTTTTGTAGCAGCAGACCATAACAAAAGCACACAGTGTACACTGTAGTGGATTTTGGAAAAAACTGAAGACAGCTTTTGACATAGATTTACACATTTGATGGATGCATGTGGCTCTGCCATCTTCTCTTTATGGAATCTTGTACTCAGTGAATGSAACCAGGGACTCCCACATCCGGGGAAATTCTGAGCTCTTAACTGCCACTAGGAGAATGTAGTACTAAAAGCACCACAAACATGTACCACAACAAGATGGATACTAAACTACAGTTAAAGCATATAAGTCTTTCTGAATGTATATGGATATTTCTGTAGTAAGGTCAGAAAGAAGAATTCATTGCAAACAGATAAAACAACAGACACACATGTGGTTCATGCTCTCTCTATGCTAAAGCAGAACTAAACATATTTGCAGTAGGTGGCTAGAAGCCAAAATCCCCCAAAGAAAGATTATTTTTGGTTYATCCTGATGGAAGTATTTTCTCAAGATGCTGGGACTCAAGGATCTCTATCCTTTTCTTTTGAAGAAACACTGCTTGAAATCAAATTCAATAAAGAGAGGGCACAACCTAGAAACCAAAAACAYAGCACGTAGAAGTGATCCTGCTCTCCCCTACCTTTGTACCACCACACTTTTCCTCCACTTTCTCCCTGCTATTGAGAATTTCAAAATGCAAAATACATCCACAAACAAAATAAAAATCCCAAATATGCTTATCAACAAGCAATATAGACTAGACAGAAGATTTTATCCTTGTTATCTTGGAAACTTCTCACAAACAAGAAAATGCAGAAAGAAAATTTAGCAAGTCAGGCTCTAGGAAAGTACAAAGGAAAAGGYTAAAGGCACAGCAAATGCCCTTTAAGTTTTCAAATTTCTCAACATTTCAACAAATTAAATCCAAAGAATATAAGGTTTCTTAAAATAGGTTAAACATTTAGCTTCATCCAGTTCACACAGCCCTATTACAGGAAGAAAGTTAAGTATTTAGAAAATGCAAGTAATCACATAAGAAACTGCTATTTTAAGGCTTTCTAAACAAATCGAGGTATTAAAACACTATGGCAGCCTATCTTAGAAAAAGCCACATGGGCAGGGTGCTCTGTTCATGGCACATGCCTCTTAGCTACCTATAAACAAAGATCTTCACAGTGCTGCCAAGCTTTTTATATGCCGACTTTCCAGAGTCCCRAAGCTAGAAACAAGCTTAATTAGAAATACTACAGCATTTATGGAAGGTACCCTATCCAATCTSACTAAGATGTTTACAGTTTAATAAAAGTAAATTTGGTGTGGTTCTACTTTTTTTTTAGTATTTTTTTAAACTACATTGTGCTTCATTTTTCAATGTTCTTGCTCCGTGTCTCTCCTTTTGACTTGTAAATAAACAAGTGATGAACTGCAAGCTGCTTGCAGAGCCCATTTATGCTGAACTTAAAGTATACCAGTACAAAAAAATATTACAGAACCGAACACATCAATATAGAACTGAAAGATGGTAGTGGAACTAAAAGCTACAAGATGCTTTAAGAAASTAAGACAAATTCTTGGAACTGTTTCCAAGTCTTACCTTACTGTCTAGGCTTCTCATAGTTAACAAATCTATGTTTTTTAGGGAACGGCCTGTAGGTGAAATGAAATAGAGGCAGACATGGATGCGAGTATCATGGTAGCTAAATAAAGAACGTATAACTTTCAGTTCTTCCTCGAGATAGGCTTCAAATTGAGCATCTATATAATCCACTATTGGCAGATAGCTGTAGGAAATAAAATTTAACAACCAGATATTAGCTACTTCTAAACAGAGACAGACTAAGAAGGGAATTCTCTTGTATTGCTCTGTGGATTTTTGTTTTACATGTCAACAGCCTGTTCAAGGAGGGCAGAAAATTACATGCACAGACTAATCCTAATTTMTGAAAAGTTACTCAAAATGGAATTGTGCATCTAACACAGACAAAACATTTCCTAGCTACCATTGGTGAAAAAAGCTACAAAAATTATGATTGTAACCAATCTTCCCAAGTGATGTTTTTTRATTTTTGCAATTAAGTCATGCTAATGCAGAACTCTTAGTTATAGGGAAGACACAACAACCTCTTGGGTACAATACAAGAAAAGAAAGAATATGCAACTAATAGTACCAAGAAACAGGATGAACTTTATCTTCTGAAGTACTATACATGAGAGAGCTCTTAAACAATAGACAAAAACAAAAATTAGAAATGTTAAATGATATAAATCTGACTTATGCAAAGTACAGTTTAAATATACTTTATTCTACTTAAAACCAGATTCTAATGTGTTTTCCAAAAGAAAGTTTTGCTAGATGTAGAAGCAGCGTACCCCTACATTTCTTCTACTACAAGTTTATGAACAAGATCAAATACTATCAAAATCCAGAAGCAGCTGTTAGACACAAAATTAAAAGAAAAGGCACCTCCTATACCACACATCAAAACCTCTAATAGCTATACCAGTATCTACTCGCATCTCCTTCGTCCAATTCACTAGCAGTAGCTATCATGCGGTCATATCATAAGCCATAGTTCTCMTAATAATCTTAATGTGACATCTAAATGTGACATCTTAATGTGACTCTAATCTTCTTTTATTATATGAGTAGTACCATTTAGGTACTCATATAGCATACATTCTTTACAATTAAGGTGAAAAAAMCAGAATCTGATGAGACAGTTCAGTCTGTAAAATCTTCAATTCACAAAATCAGAGAATCCAAAGATGTTCCAAAAGACACCAATGTGCTGCCTCTACATCTTCAAACTAAGCTGTTCCACACAAAAAACAAAGGCCTTTTAAAGCCACATGAAGTTACTTCCAGTTTAAGGTCTTCAACATGTTATAATTAAATAATTAAAAACCCTGTAGCTCTAATCTTTATAATCTACAGTACTTTATAATCTGCTTGGTTGTTTAAAAACCTTCCCATTGACCTCTCTGCTTTTCTCCACCCAAAAGAAACTACTGAATGYACATATATTTATAAAAGATTATATCATAAAGAAAGGGGGAGAGTTCATTTGATTTATAAAATAATATCCTACACAAGAAAAAAAATATGTTTATCTTGGCACACTAAGAGTTAACCATATATCTGGAACACATGTATGACAACCACTTACTACAAAGCCCAAAGAAAAATCAACTTGCAATTAAGACCAAAACTTCCACATAACAGTGACAAGAGGGTACTTACCTATCTGCTTTGTTCACCTGGTCACCAAATCCCACTGTTTTTACAAAGGTCAGCTTCAAAAGAACATTACTTTCCTGGATTTCAAAATTCTGGGCTCTAAGTCGTACACTTGGCAGAAAATGTGTTGATGGAGAGTCCTCAAAATTGGTGTTAAACAAACTGCTCATCAAGGCTGATTTCCCAATTCCAGTTTCCCCTAAAGGTAAAGAGAAGGGTAGGGGAAGACATTTTGCATGTCAAATAAACAGATAATAAGCACAGAAAGCATACACAAAACCTTCTCACCTGTTTTCTCTATGCAAAATATATTCGTTCATTCTTTTAATGAGCACTAAACATATATTCACGCATATTCATATAACACATATTACTTTTTTTAATCCTACATATAAGGGAAAATTACCAGATAATGAGTAATRAGCAGAACAGTGTCCTGACACTTTGGTTTCTTTAAAAGTGTGAACTAATTTCCTGTAGATTCGAAAAAGCTAAGCAGCTAGCTGTGAAAACAGAGATTCAMCAAAAGGGTTTTTAAGAATAAGGGTAAAATACTAGAGCAAAAAAAATTGATAAATATAGAAACACTTCAGTAATACCACYTTGGAATTTTAGAATTTTTTTCACCTGAAACTCTTTGTTATGWGTGTAAGCCCYGTTTACTCAAAAGCATCCAAAAAGSTTCTGATAAGTGAATAAATGACTGACATCCATTTTRAATGTTTTTTAGTCTTAACAGTTTACAAAAATGCTATATACAAAACCAAAGAATGGAACACATAAACAAAACTGGGGGAAGGGGTGGAATTATAGTGTTTTACACAACTCAATCTAAATTTCAGTTACTTCCTAAGATGRGTATACTTCTAAAGCCTTAAAGCACTCAGATACTACTCACCAATGCAAAGAATGTTGAAGCAGAAGCCCTGCTTGATGGATTTCTTAAGCAGTTGGTCAGGTAAACTATCAAAYCCAACATGCATAGACAAGGGTAAAGTTCGACAGCCATCATTTTGCTACAGAAAAAGTTTTAAAATATCAGTTAACACTGGCAACAAATTAATTCTACTAGGAAGCTAGAACCTGTTCCTTATGATTTCACAGCCAACGAAGAAAAGCCAAAGTTTGAAAAAAAAGACCGGTCAAATCATCTTTACTCCATGATTTGACAAAAAATTAAAATTTACCTTACAGGACGATTTGCAGGCTTAAAATAAAGCCCAGATTTTGCAAAAGAAAGAACCCAAAACCAGAAAAAAAACCCCCAAAAATGGAAAAAACCAAAAAACAAAAACAAAAACAATACACCACCAAACAAGCAAAGAACCAAACAATCCTATGAAACATGAATGAGATAAAGCAGACAAATACAACTGAAAATGTAAGCTGAAAACTGTGGGGAGAAAATAGACCACAGTTGGTTTGCWCATAGAAATGAGAAAAAAGTACTAAAAACAATTTAAGCACCAGAATTCAAAACAGAGAACATGGCCGAAGAAGGTGTATGTTATCAAACAGAACCAACTGAAATTACTATTTATGTAAACTAATACATTATCTGCACTCGTTATATGCACCAAAACTCTGATATAACATTATTATCTATTGTATTAGAAATATCTAAAGATGCAAACTCCTTTTCAAACATCAGAACTACAACATCAAGGCAGTGAGCATACTAAAAATGCTTAAGACTAAAAAGGAAGTATCTTGGTTTATATAAATGAACTGTATTTTTAAACAAACATTACATATCAGAAGTATAAACAGTGACAGGTCCATGCTATTCTTTCTCCTGTATTTCCAATCCACATAGAGTCAACTGCAGGAATTTTTTTTAATTTAACAGTTAAAAGTCTATAAAAGTGGCACCTTCCATAATACGTATGCATACAAGTCTCAGAATTCTTGTAGATAAAAGGATATGGAAACTCCTCACAGCAAATACTCATCCTCTTCTTGATTTGCACAGCACTTCCTTGTGTGTGACTACAGACTACACTGCACTAACTGCACCAACTCTCATTTTAATCTGCTATAATCAGGCAATTCCATTKTAGATTAACATGAGGGAAAACGCATATGCAAAATTAACAATTTAAAGAAAAGATATGACAAGAAAAAAAGAAAAAAATGTACATTCAAAGCATGTCTGAAAACAAAATTTCTCAAGGCATTCTACCAGAAGAAAATTACTATTAAAAAGTGCTGAGAAACACTGAAAACTGTCAGTATCCTGTCCATTTAAAGACAAGTATATCTGAGACAGCGGCTGCACATCTAAGAACTCTAGCTACTCAGTCTGATACTCAAAGCACCTCTACTGCCACTAACAAAAAACAGTTCCTCTAACACAAACCATTCAGCCTCCACACCAAAAGGCAGTGYAAGAGGCTCAGCATGACTGCAGAAGGGAGGACTGTCACTTTCCTGTCCCTCAGCCTAAACCCCAGCCATGCTGGGCTACCCTCAAAACCGCTGTACTGCCATTAGTAACTCTCCAACAAAAAAACCCTCACAGGAATAAATTTATTTCCTTYTGATGTCCAGGTGTTAGAAAGATAAATTACTTTGTCAGTAGAATTGCCTTGTTAAAGTTTAGGGCTTGACATGCCTCGATGACCTCAGACCTGGGGGAGATCAACAAAGTTTAAGGGAGAAGGATATGCTACTGATAGTGGACACAAAGAATGCAGAATTTACAGGCCACAAGGACATTTGGCAGAATTTCCAATACAAGAAAGAAACTAACAAAGCCAACTCAGCAACTGTGCTGAAACCAGCTCCAACTGAATCAACTCCAAGGGCAATTTTAGTAGGAGGTGACTGTGACCACCTCTTCATGGACCATCAATGCAAAAGAAGAGAAAGACTAGGAATGTGGACTACTTAGCAAGTTGAGAAAACCACCAACCAACAGAAAGTAGAACAGTAGTTAAGTGGGTTATGACTTAGCTCCCCACCTTGCACAAAYTAGAATAAAGAAATAAAACTGCCTTGCCTCCGTGTGTAAATTGTTGCTACCTAGTAAGCAGCGAGCTCTCAATCAGGACAATGCCTCAGCCTTCCTTATGGTAGAATCACTGTGTAAACCTGTTCCATCTTATAGGAACTGAAGCATTCTCTTAATAGAGGAGCAGAAGCCTACATTTTTCCTTCTGAAATTTTCCAAGGACATCGGGTGTTTGTCCCTAATGTCAGCACTTCATACAGCTTCACTGTGCTGTTGCCTAACAAATATGCAGAGAAATTAATTTTACAAAACTGACCACATGATACCCACATTCTTACTACTTCCAAAAGAAGTATTACCTAGTTGATCACCTAATCGATCTAAATCACATCTGTTTCCTTACGTCAACTCTTTTTTGAAAGATTGGTAGCATAGCTAATGCTTCTGGATTAAGCCAGATTCATTACACTGGTTAGGGCTCTGAGCAACCTGGTCTAGTGAAAACTGTCACTGCCCAGAGTAGGGCTGGGACCAGACAATCTTTTTTTAGATCCCYTCCAACCCAAACCATTCTAYGATTCCTTGACTTAATCAAATGTTTTGATTTATATATGGCTGTCTTGACCATTAAAAACAGCATGAAAGAAAAATCATAGCCTAGGATAGTGTACCATTTAAAAATTCTTTCACAAAGAAACTTAAAAAAAATAGTTACATTTTACATTTGCCACAGATTTCTGACTAAAACTGCACAACACCATGCCATTCCAAAGCAAAAGCTAGGTCTCAGACTACATGCACCACTCTGCATAAGCCCCTGCAGAACCAGACTAGCAGTCCAAGCACGAAACTAGCTTGCTATTGGGCTTGTAGAAGTGACTGAAATTTGGCCTCTAAAACYTGAGAACAGTAATCAATGTGTAGTTAGGCAGGAGGTGAGGGTCCCGCCAGCTCCGGGCAGCTACACGGAGGCCCTGGGAAGGATGCCGGGCCCTCAGCCGCGAGGGCGCACATCACCACAATAATGTGCCCATGGACACACCAAATGTGACTCTTCCTGAACCCCGAGTTTTCCACTACTACCAAAAGGCACAGTAATTACCCTCCACGGGAACTAAAGCTCCAACACTGGCGTGTGGATGGTTTCAATGTTTCAGAACACAAAGCTGCGAGTTTTGTCATTACACAAAAGTAGTTCTTCAGTAGCCAAGATTCAACTTCAAGTAGTAACTTGAAATACACGATACACCGCGGGAGCGCTAAGAAGGGTGACATCTGAAAACACGTTCCTTCAACAGGTTATCTGAAAGCCTGGCTGCTCTGGGAACTAGACAGCGTGAGGAGAGAGCCTTTATCTCCCCGCTAACCCGACCCCTACCCTGAAACGGCCCTCACCAGCGCCCGGCACGGACCCGGGCAGTGCCCCGTCCCCGGCAGTGAGGGCAGCGATGTACAGGTGGCACTTCCACCTCTTCGCACGGTGTGACAGCCGCCTTCCTTCCCCTCCTGGTGCCGGCGCTGCCGGACCSCTCCGTCCCCTCGGCCGCGCTGGGCTCGCCCCCAGCGCAGGGGCTGCTCACCAACCACTCCCCGCACCGCGGAAGGGACTCACCGGGTGCCGACCGGCATCGGAAGCGGCCATAGCCCCGACAGGCGAGGCAGGGAAATAGGGAGCAAAGAAGGGAGAGAAACGCACGGCCGAAGCTGCCGCCGAAGAGGAGAGACACGCGGCGGGGAGGAGCGCGGGGAGGAGCGCGGGGAGGGGATGCAACCGCGGCTCCGCCGCCGAGGCGGGCGCTGCTGACGGGCGCCTCCCGGCCGGAGGGCGGCGCGGTGTTGCCTTGGTGTTACCGCCGAGGCAGTGATTGCTGGGCATGCTGCCGCCGGGAGGAGGGGCTCGGGCAGCGGCGGCTCTGCCGCGCCCGCGCCACAACTACCACCACCATCACCGGCAGCGGCAGTAGCGCAGGAGGAGCGGCGCGATGGGGTAGCGGCGGTGATGGCGGAGCCGGCGGAGCTGCAGCAGGAGTCGGTAGTGCGGTTCCTGGCGGAGCGGGGCGGGCGGGCGCGCAACGCGGAGCTGCTGGAGCATTTCCGGGACTGGCTGAACCCCGCGGAGCCCGCCCGCCGTGCCGCCGCTCGGCACCGCTTCAAGGAGCTGGTCAACGCAGTGGCGACCGTGCGCCAGGAGCCCGGCACCGGCGTCAAGTACGTGCACCTCCGCCGCCGGTACTGCGCCCCGGAGCCCCCCGCCTCTGCCGCCGCCCTGACCCCCGGGGAGCAGGAGCCGCCGGCAGCGAACAGCGCGGAGCAGCCGCGYCCGCCGCCCTCCCCGCGGGCAGGCGCTGAGGAGACGCCGC